TAAGCGTAAAAGGAAATATCTTTTTCTACGCAAATAAACGCATGAAGTTAAACAAATTTCTCCACAAGTAATTAATAGTCACGAGATTAGATAAAACTAATTGATGAAACTAAGAGAAAGTTCATCAAACACACGATTTTCCTTCATTTTGCTGTTTTCATAACCATTCGCAAAAAACCAAATGCAAAATAATACATTCCGTCCCAAAATAATTGCTACAGAGAGTATTATAATTAAAAGAAACAATGGCAATTAGTTTGGCTTTCCCTTTCAGGAAAGAATATCATACAATAGGTGAGACGCGTGTCGAATATTTTCTGTGTGCTTGGAAGAAGTTTTAGCCCTCTTTGCAACGATCATTTAAAAAAATAATAATAATAATTAAAAAAAATACTCTTTACTAAAAGAAATATTAACTGTTTCATTTGAACTAGTACAATAAATATAATTTCGTCAACGATGATTATCTGCCACCTAGGCTGTCCATTGGAACGATTTGATAGTGCCGCCGCAGCTAATTCCTTCTCCAACCCAAATAATCTTCCACTTGGCAGTATGAAGATTAAGAACAACACAAACTTTAACTTGGGTTAAGTTAATCTTTAACTCTAGGGTTGACTATCATAAACTCATAAGATTTAATTAGGCTTTGTGGGCCCTGTTTCTTTGGATGCAACATGTACCATGTAAAGGGACATTTCACATTTGGCAATCTTCAATTTGTTGAGAAGCCGAAAACTAAGGAGAAGAATAATCCTCACTAAAATAATATTAGAAGACTAAGATAAGGTAATCACTGTTTAGAGTTATTGTGATTTGTTAGTGGTTTTAGTACTTTTCTGTAGACTTTGGAAATCTTTCATAAAGCACTTTTTTTAGGGTTCAATGATTGACTATTTCTTAAATTTGCCTAACTTTTGCAATAAGTTTGTTGTTGGAGATCATCTTAAAATTAATCTCATTTTATCATACATTGTTGATTTTAAAACTTATCATTTATAATATCACCATCCTTTTGTTTGCTAATTTTCTTTTAGGTATCTATAAAATTTATTTTCTGTGTTGCAAAATAATTATCCAATTTGAACTTTTAATTTTAGTGCAATTATCTTAGAACGGAGGGAGTAATGCTAAAATCCCAAAAGCAAAGGGGAGAAATTGTCCATATATAGATGTTCAGTGTATTTTTTTATAAAGTTACTTAGAGTCAAAATCAGGAAGAGCTGGCTAGCAAAAGGCTAAAGTATAAATATGTTAGTGATTTTTATCATTATCACAACTACATATGGTATGGTACGTGTCTTATATTATTTTGGTTGATACGTGGTTTCTACATAAGCCAAAAGGAAGTGTCTATTTTAATGTTCAAGATTAGGAGAAGTAGCCACCTTCTCAAGTTCGCTATTTTCATATCTAATTTTAAATTATGTTTTGACTATATATATTCCACACATCTTTGTAAGGATCATGCTTTTCATACCATTTTAGTTTGGCATATAGTAGTTGTGGTTTTGGATGGCATTCAAACTTTAGAAAAGTATTTGGCCTTTTAATCAAAGATAAAAGAGAATTAGAAAAGATGGGATGGAACCTTTATATTTTTAGGGAAAATTAAAACTAGTTATTTAGAATTTCATAAAGAATGTTGTTTGTTAATAGTACTAATTTATTTCAAGAGACCGAAGTTGAAAAGAGTAATTTTTTTTAAAGAAAAACTTCTTTCTTTTATTATTGACAGTTATCTCGTTCACGAAATGTTTAATTCCAACTCAAAGATAAAACAATTGTGTTACACTTAACCCGTAATGCTCCGTAACTAAGAGCATGTTTGCTAAAAATTAGTGCTTAATTCAGAATGCTTAATACTGAATTAGAAATGCTGAATTCATTAAGATATATGCAATAAGCTAATTTTTATTGCTTATATATTGTACTGCATTTTTACCACCAATTAATTCATTAAGAGGTTCATTTTTTTTTGTTATCAAACAAGCTAAAATGAAAAATTTCTTAATGAAATAATTGTAAGTATTAAGTGATGTTATCAAACAAGCGCTAAGTTCATAAGAGCACATTAAAACTAATTCAAGTAATATATTTTTTTAAAATGAAATAAAATATACCTTCTGTTATGGTTGATGCATAGTAATCTATTTCTCTCAATATAAAAGTTCTGATTATTCTACAAACTTAATTAATTCGTATTTATTTGGAATGACGTAGTAATTTTTTTCCCTTTCAAACCATTCTACGGCAAGTCATATACACTAGCTAGTTCATCCACACAATGCATCAACATTACGCACCTACGAATCTGTAATTGTCAACAAATTGATATGATCTACAATGTTCCATATGACGACTTCGACAAACAAATTTATTCATTTCCGACATGAATTTAAGAAATCTCTATTGACCTATGATGATTAGAATATAATTCCTCAACATTATTGTACTGTAACGGGAAAAATTAAAATACATTATTGAAATGTTCACATCACTGCTATTTTAGTTTAATCCTTCCCGAAATAGAAGGCACTAATTAATACAATTCCAAGAAGATAATAGGTACAAATGTTGCCATTTGTGTCTGAATTTAGACCTTTTCTGTGACCGTATGCACGTGTATTGCTTGACCTTAACTACTTAATCAGCAAAATTAGGAAAAATTCTTAGCCCAGAAGGAATAATATGTTGACTATTAGGTTAATAATTCGAAGGGGGAAAAACAGATTAAATATAATGACATCTTATTAATTCTAGAACAAAATTTACGTACAGTTGCTGGCCCAATCCCAACATAAAGAAGATGCTTCCTCCTCAAATTACATCAATTTAATTAGTTTATAAATTTTATTAAAATTGTACCATATATTGGAGTAATATTTTTTTATATTTAATAATTTAATTACCTAAGATTGTTATGTATGGGGCAGCTGAATGCCACAGAGCTTATTTTGATTGGTGCAGTTTCTTGAAAGTGATAGTTGTTGTAGAAAATTCGAACAAAATAATGATATACTAATAGTTGTTTTAGTTATCTTAGTTTGATCCCAATATTTGTTTACTTTTTGTGGCTCTAGGCCGTTTTAGAAGCTGAGATAAAGCATTATTTTGCCCCCCATAAATTATGTAAAGTTTGTAATCTTCTGGAATCTGGATGTCTGCCCCTTTATCTGTAGTATGAGGATATAGGAGTATCAAATATAAAAATATATATTTAGGGACAGATCCCTTTTAAGATTAAATTTTTAAATGAAATTGGTGACACTAGAAAATATATTTGAAATAATATAATGCTGCTCTTTGAATCCAAGTTCTGCTCAAAAAACTTGGTTTTTGGACCCTTTTGGAGGATAAAATTTGACGACTCATCCCGTTTTATAACAATACTCATCTAACAAATTCCATTTGGACGATTAATAATACTTCTTTTACGAAGAAAATTAATAAGTGTCCTTTGTGCTATTCATGTCTCATTAAAATAGGCATTGTCTCTCTTTCTTCCATTGACAATAATTTTACAGAACAAGAGTTCATACCTTTTTTAGTCTCTCTTTTAAAGGGGTCGGTAATCTTTTTACATAATTGTAGTATAATGTGTTTCAAAAAGAAAAATTGTATTACTTCCGTCCCACAAAAATTGTTCAGATTGAGTTTTTAAATTTGTACTAAAAACACTACAAAACTCAAAACTTAATGCCAATTATTTTTGTAGGAGGGATGGAGTATTATAATAAACGCGATTTTTTTTAAGAAAAAATATAGACGGGTATGATTTTGTAGACTTCTCAAAATACCTGAGGAAATCGCGGCTTTCAACTGTCAATATGATTATATAATAAAGCAAATTCCACAAATTGCGTTTCCCGACTGGAACAAAATCAATCTCGTTGTTTGTTTGGTACAATAAAATGTGAGTTAGTTAGTGTAAGTTACTATAAAGGCAAAGGATTACACGAGACAAAACAAAATTGCTCTAGACAACGTGGAATACCAAGTTGGAAAAAGTAGCCAAAGAATAAGGTTTTTAGTTGTGTGACGGAGATTGTGGATAATAAGAAATTCCCGATGCTAATTGGAAGTTAGAAGCTCAATTCAGTTGGGGGTTCTGATCTGATCAGTTAGTTACTAACAGTAGGCACATCAAACCTTAACTAATTCAAATTGTTGATACAACGTATGCAATTTGTCCTTTTGTCTTTGATGCATTTGCACTTGCCTTTTAGTGCAATATGAATCGACAGAATTTCTTTTTCTTTTTAATAATAATAACCAAAGAAAAAAACTCTTTTGATCTCATTTTAATAACCCATGTATCGAATAGTTTTAATTTAACAAATAAATTCGTTCTGTGTTACTTTTATATATATATATATATATATATATATATATAACTAGTTATGGACAGATAGTATTGTTCTTCGATTGTTCCTCTTTCGATGTTTTATTTGTCTGAAATGTTTTCTTTTTCTCAAAACGTTGTTTCATATAACAGTTGTATTGTACTCTTTCCGTTTTAAAAACATAGTTTATATTACAGTTTGTGAATTATATTGTTTTTTAAAATAATCCACAAAGTAAAATGCTGACTTTTTTCTGTGAAACAAGAGAGTATACATGAGAGCATATCTTCAGTTTGCTATACATATTTACTGATTTTGCTTTCTATACTTGTGCTCAGAAAAAATAGTCCACTTAATTTGTTACATCTCCTATATTCTAAAATAATTGTTTATTTTAAATTTTCAATTTTATTAGCATGATTATAATCATTTTTTTAAATAAAAGGGAATTATTTAAATGATAATTGGACTATTTCTCTAAGACTGTGACAAAATAATAAGTCATAAATACTTCCTACTATTGTTAACAGAATTCATTATATTATATTTTCATGCTAGAGTGTGAAATCATTTACAGGGCATAGAATCTGTTTGGCAAATCATTAAACACGTGTTAAAGATTTTAATTAATATCACAAGAAGTGTAATACAAAAGTTTCACAGAAAATCATTTTTAATGTCCAGAGATGAACGAATTAATTTGTTGTCATAGTAATAATTGAACTTAGTTATGCTAGGTCATGGATATTTGGTGCCATAGTAATTGTACTTAAGTTCTGCTGGGTGATGGATGTTTGATTCGGGCTGGACTGATGACCTACGACAAAAATTACAGTTAATCACTGCTGCGGGTTGAAGAGTAACAATAATAGAGAGCGATTTTCGCAGCAATAAATTTGTATCGATCATTAACGTGCCATTCCATCATTGGATGTTCATATGACTATTAAGATGTATCATAAAAATGATAGACAACACATTAGGCATCCTTGACAAATTTAGAATCCAACATAACCAGAAAGATCCAACTTCGAGTAATGTGATCTTCCTCTACAATTAACACATATATTTGTATATTATAAATGTCCCTCTTGTGGTTCATTTACTTACAGATGTACAATGAAGTTAAAACATTCAAAGAAGATGAGGTATCCTGCATCTAAGTAGTTTTCTTCTGTTTCTTCTCCTGCCATGCTTTCCGTTCAGCATCGATCTTTGCCTTCACACTAACATTGAAACCCGGATATGGTTCGTACCCAACGAAAGCAAGAGCCTATATGACCCACAAAATGATTAAAGAATCAGCCCAAAAACGATCCAAGAATTAGAAAATCCCGAGAACTGGAGGAAAATGAACAGACCTCGAGTAATACAAAGAAAGGTGCCATGAGAAAAGCCTGAGTGAGGTTGTCTAATAAAGCGGGTGCTCGCTTCTGCAAAAGTTTTCGGAGGTTAGAGATTAATTTGAGATTATTATTTATCACAAGGAGAACCTCGAATCAGTAATCACATCTCAACCTCAAAAACACCATGGCCAATGAACTGTCCAGTCCAGCAAAACAACTGGGCTGCTGCAGCAACCTGAAGAAAGTAAAATAAGCATTAGAATTAAATATGATGAGACAGATGCAACAAACAAATGGAATTTAGTCAGTTTCAAACGACATTCAGCCAGCCCGGTACTGCATAAGTTCATCGCTCATTTACGACCTTTCTGTTAGTACATCTCCAAACATAAAGCATAAAAAAACAGCAAACACTTTAGATGCATTTACTTGATTGAGCTAACTATCCTACTTTAACCAACCTCCCTGGACGTAAGAAAAGGAACTTAGAGAAGACACTATTCAATATTCATCAATGAAGAGGAGACCCTAATAAGGGCCCACTTTCACCATCAGTTTCCGAAAGGCATCAGCTATTGTAACATTTCTGTTGACTGTGTAGTATCAGACAATAAATTTTAGAAAAATGTTCTCAAATCTCAAAGATTGCTCAATTCAATGCCGACAAGAGAAACAAAAAGCTCGCTGTCAGCTCTATTTAAATTATAATGCCAAATCTAAAGCAAGCAATCTAAGATACAGCAAACCTAGGAAGATCTTACTTTTCACTCATAAAATGCAACTGTACACAGTGAGACAAGGAAATAAACCATTACAAATGCTTTTATCCTCATTTATCTCCAAAGTAAAAAATCCTATGCTACTTTTAAGGCAACTTCAACAAAGACCAGATGAAAAGAAACAATACATACAAACCAGAAAGAAATCTCTTTATCTTAGACATCAAACAGAGTTGGTTGCCGACCAACCGCCAACTGAATTTCCTAAGAAAGGTAGGATGTTTAAATTATTAAAAAAACCCCAACAAAAACCTTAAAACTTTAAGTGAAAGGTAACAAAGTTTCAATCCCAAAACAATTTCAAGAGTATCCGAAAGATATAAACTTACTCAGTCTTTAAATTAATTACAACAGAAATATGATATTCAGTAAAAACCCTATCCTACTTTTAAGGCAACTTTTCAACAAAGACAAGATGAAAGGAAACAATACATACAAACCAGAAAGAAATCTCTCGATCATGGACATCAAACAGAGTCCATTATCAGCCAACTGAATTTCCTAAGAAAGATAGGATCTCTAAAATCTTAAAAAAACCCCAACATAAACCGCAAAACTTCAAGTGAAAGGTATCAAAGCTTCAATCCCGAAACAATTTCAAGAGTATCTGAAATAAACTTACTCCGTCTTTAAATTAATTACAACAGAAATTTGATATTCCAAAGCAAGAAAGTTAACTAGATGACCAATGTCAATACCCTAGAATAGTCTACATAAACAAAAACAAGCACAAAAAAAAAAAAATTGAGTAAGAAGTCCAATATTATTAGTTAATTGACCCAACAACCAAAGTTTCTAGTTAAAATCAAAACAGGAAGTAGATAGATCCGAATTATATTAAGACGCCACCCAAATCAGTAGTGCGACTATCACTTTGCAAATAAACAAGTTCAATCCCGAGTACTTAACAAGGGTGACATAAGATCAGCAAACATAGTGATCCAAATTAAGAGAATCATATAGCTAATTATACAGCATTTGATTGTTCAAGAAAACTTAAGGGAAGCGTAGAATCTAGGATCAGTTGTTAGAACATTCGCGGATAAACTTTTGGCATTACAGCCAACAATAATACCATGTCAAAACAAGATGCCAGTATGTACATTGACTACATTAGAAGCAGTAGAAATACACCAGAATTCCTAAAATTATCAAAGATAGCATCCACTATCAGGCATCCTATTAACGTTTCTGATTCAAAGCAAGAGCACCCCAATCAACACCAATAGACTGTTATTTGGCTGAAACAACAACAAAACAAAACAAAAAGCCCAGACTTCCCCTCCAGAAAAGGTAGTGGGAGCCTGGTTTGCATATTTATCACCACAAAACAGTCAATGATAATCACAACTACCCTAATGCTCCAAATAAACTTGATACGAAGTAGTTCGCTGTTAATTGGCAACAGACATATTTTACCATGTAAAATCAAAGCTAATAAGATTAACCCAATCGAAGAAATTGCCATCAATACCTTCCAAGCCACAGAGTACCCTAAGCGGTAGGAAACAGAACTGCTGAGAATCCAACAACCAAAGCACATCAACGCAGCCAAAGAGCCAGCTTTCTTGTCCAGAAGCACATAAAACAGGCCATAAATCACAGTGAACAAGAACCCGAAATTCCACACCAACAAACTATGATCCCACAACTCAATCGGAGCTGACTTGACTAAAGCAGGGGTAAAGTACAAAAGCATCAAGGCAGTGAACACAATCGGCCAAACAAACAACATATGGATGAAGATATTCACAGGGTTGCTGTGGTATGCCCCATAGAAAGCAAAGTGCTTTTCAAGATCAAACAAACCCATCTTTTGATCAAAGTTTTAATCTTTACAAGTGGGATTTTTGTTAAATAGAGTTTGGTGTACAAAACGTGGAAGATTAACCAAAAAAAAAAAATCGAAGATATAAACTCAAAGGGGCAGGTATTCTTCTTGGATTAGCAATGGGTTTTTCGTGATACAGAGCTGGCTTGGGTGTATAAAACGTGAAAAAGTGTTCATAAAGAATGAAAACGGCGTTGATTTCTGGAAAGAGTTGGAAAAACGTATTCAATCAGGCGGCTGGATTTACATGGTTTTGTTTCTTCGGTTTTCACACTCCTCCGACCACATTATTCAATTCTTTCTCGTCCAATCGAAACCAAGAAATTGGAAGCTTCTACGCAAATTAATTCTTTCACATTGGGCCATTAAGTATAGGCCTTGACCCAAGAAAAAGTGGCAGCCCGACTTAGGGCCGAGCTTAGCCCAATAAAAAAGTCATCTTTAATACTACAATGAGAAATTGTAGTTCACCAACACTTGCTTGGCCAAAGTGGTAAGGTGTTTTGGTTTCCTAAAGCGAATTCTCGGGTTCGAGTCTGGTGAATGAAAAAAACAATATTAGGTGAGCTTTCCCTCTGAAAGGAGACTGACCCGGCTCGATACAGATTAGTCTGAATGTAATGCATTTGGGACACCGTGCGCAGATAAAAAAAATTGTTCATTTCATAGACAAAATTACATATTATGAATTTATGGAAATCTCTATGAACTGAACTTTTAATTGTCATACGCGAATGGGAAGTGATTGTCGAAGAACTAGGATAAGATAAGAAATGATTTTTTGTATGCAAACAAAAAGCCCAAAGAATGGGACAAAAACAACCCAGCTCCGCTCGTGGCTTGGGTCCAACCAGTTCCAGATGGGACAAAAACAAAATAAATGATCAAAGGTGGCCCATGCAGGTCTCGAACCTGCGACCTTCGCGTTATTAGCACGACGCTCTAACCAACTGAGCTAATAGGCCATTTATTCATTGGGTGCCAAAATTGTTTTAAATATTTTTAAGCAGAAATTGTTACCATTTAAATTTTGTCAATTAAAATTGTCGCTCACTCCAAATTTTGTCACATATATCTATGGTGCTTCTACCTGCTGATTGTATTCTTGAATTTAATTGTTGTCTTTTTTCTTTTTCTCGTCTTGGTTTTTCTTAATTAATTATGCATGGACAATCTTGCTAAACTATACATGATGTTTAGTATAAACTATACATGATCTTGAATTTTGGCGCACAATAAAAAAAAAAAGAAAAAAAAAACCATACATGATGTTTAAGAAAGAGGGAAAAAAAAATCGTAGATATCAAATAGAAGAGAATGATTTTCTCTCCCAGCAGTTTCATTTTATTGTTGGAACTTCATAAGCTCCAAGCCTTATTACATGTATGGTCCATAAAAGCACCATATAACAAAAAGTTACATCATCATCGACCTCTTAAATGACCTGTAGATATATATCTCATCCTATAATTAACTAATTAACCCATAATGTGGAAATTAATTAGGTTTTTGTAATCTGTCCCTTTCCGCAGTTGTAGAAACAAGAGCAAATGTAGGTGCCAAATGACCCTCCTGAGGTGCATTGTCCATTCCCGTTATAAGACAGATAACATTGTTTTTGGCAATCTGGGAGGTTACAGCCCTTAGGGTTTAAGATAATCCTGCATCTTTTTTGCCCCAACACTTGGTTAGGGACTGTCGAGACAACTGCACAAGAAAGGAAGAAAATCTCACAAAATTAGGCTTTGCCAAATCCGTAAATCATTTCGGAAGAGCGAGCACAAAAACAGTAGAAATGCAGTTGATTATTAAAAAAAAAAATCGTGTTTATTGAACCGTTTTAATAAAACTCATATTTTGTGACGAAAAAAAATGAATGTATGTTTTTCCAATTGTTTGTTACAGAAATTTTTTTAATTAAATAATATAAAATGCTTTTCATGCATTGGAGAAAGAACTATCATAGACGAAACACAATGTCAATATACACTTCTCCATCCTTTGGTAAAATTATGGTATGCTATCTCTTCCAAACTAAAAGTAGATTATAGTACTAATTATGTCTCAAATTCAACAAACAAAAAACTCTTAATTAGAGGGTATTACAACACGATTCATAACGCAAACCCCTGTGAATTTCCCCCCTCAGACTAGTATCCTTACTTTTTTATTGCAGACCAAATAAGACACTGAAGGTAAATCAAAACTAATTAGAAACTTATTTCGACCCCCCACCCCCCGAAAAAAAAAAAGAAAAGATGAATTGTACATATGGAGGCATGAAGCGAGAATAAAAAAAAAAATCGTTTATCTCTGATCCTATTTATATGGCATCGATTTAAACTAAATCAAGATAAAATTTGTTACTCAATAGGACAAAATGGAACATCTTCTGCTAGAATCATATTGAATAATTTGTGTTCATGCCAGAAAAACGCAAAATAACAGATTGAAATCCAAATAAATTACCTAAAAGAACAAGGACAAGAAGCCACAAGGAGGAGAATGAGAACTTTGCCATTATTAATTTCTGATCGATCTGATGGGGAAACAAAAAACCAAACTGTGCCTTCTTATACTTTTACAAATTAATGATATTCGTTCACAATTTGCAAGATTTGGGGAAATTTGATGCTAACCCGCAAAATCATGGCAGAAATGAAAATTTAGCGTCTGAGGTTTATAGAAACTTTAAAGGTATACTGATGAGAAATATTTCTATACCAAAACCAGAAACAGTTATTAATGACAATGATAAAAATCTTTCTAGCACAAATGTCTCGAATCAATTATTAACCACGCCAAATAACAAAATTTTAAGTCTAACATAAGCATTTAAAGAAATATTTAATTTACTCATTGGGTTCCTCCATAATCTATCTATCTATAGTATTATACTAAGAGAGAAACCAGAGAGAGAGAATCAAATTTCTTCCCATGTTGACACATAAGACAAAATCCTACGTGTCAGTTTCTAATTGGTTGCAACAAAAATTATTTTTAACAATTACACCAAATGTCCTCTAAATTTTCAGTTATTCATTTGTTGCCAATTTGAAATTAATTGAATATATGAACCATTAATTAACAAACCCACTAAATCAGCAAAAACCATAATCAACAACCACTTTCTATTTCGTAATTGTGAGATGAAATAAAAACGGAAAATCTTCAAATCTTCCATTATGTATTACCCAAAAAAGGTAAGAATTGATTTTATTCATTATACAATCTGATTTGATTTGAAATTCAAAAACAAACATATCCAATCCACATCTATAGTATCTATAGTATTATACTAAGAGAGAAACAAAAAAAGATTTGTAAAGGTGCCACATAGGATAAAATCCTATGTGAAATTTTCTAAATTACTCCCCCAAAAGAAACTTTATGTATTGCATTTTTGGTCCCTAAATTTTCAAAAAACGTAACAATGCATAAATAGTAGAGTAATAATTATCGGCCAACATTACCCACACATATTACATTCATCATTAATTACTGTTAATGACATAATTGATATATATAAGTAAAGCTTTAATATCGCCTTATAAAAAAAAAATTTTAAAAAAATCAAATCAAATTAATACAGAATGAACGCAGTCCATTATTCCTTTGGATTCAGAGATAATTTTGCACACAATGTCTTTATTTAAAACAATCAAACCCGCATCAAAAATCAGTGATCATATAGATACCATAAACAAATAATTGGAATCTACCTTATGTTCTTAATCCACGAATTGATGAGCTCAATTTTGAATTCAAAATTATTAACTAATTAATCTTTTTCGAATCAATAATTTAATGTAGTCCAATGTTTGAATTTTAAATCTTACTTATTTTAAATAAAACACAGGCCTAATATTACTATCATCTAGGAAATACAATAAAATGGTGAATAAAATCATTAAAAACTGAAGCCATTCCAAAAATTTGAGATAATTACCGTAGATATCTTTTTAAGAAAAAATTCCCATCTTATCGCTAATTAATTCACGTTTATTTGACCACAAACATTTAAGGAAAATAATCCCCATCCTATCGTCAACTACATAGATATTTTCACTCCATTCACCCTTATAAAACCCAATAAATACATGCTCCAAAATGCTCTTGAAGTCATGTCCGAAACCGAAATAATTTGATAAATTCATGTGTAGTGGTTTATTCTTTTTACTTTCTTTTTTATTTTTATAAATATGTGTGTGCCTGGTGTTTGTTTTCATGGAATCAATTCAATATATTGTTTTTTCCTTTCGGCTTTCGATTTGCAAATCACTAATCGATTCATATTTGTTTTTATTTTATGGAATCCGATAGATAATATGTAAAGAGGGTCTTCGACGCGATATGGAGGTTTATGTTGTTAGATTTGATTGGTGCTTCTTCTTAATTTGATGTCCAAATTTTGACTCAGGTGGAATTTCTTCATTCATATGATTAATGATATTTAGTTTTCAACTTGCAGTGATCTCTTGAGTGCACCCAAAAAAAAGAAAAACATGTTAGCATGGGATGGTACAAGAATTGGTGAGTGATTATTTTTCAATGATTTTCTTTTCTATTTTTGTTAAAATATCGAATTTATTATTTCAATAAAGTTCTAACTTCTAAAAGTCTAAGAATGTTTTTAAGGGCTGAAATGAATGCACATGCTCGATGATCATATGATATTGCATATGTACCAATTTTTTCCCGGTCTTGGTCAATATGCTATGTTACATGTTATTAATTCAACTTGCAGGAAAGTGTATCTGATACGTTGACTACTCCGAATGGGAAAACAACAAGAGTGACAGAAGAATTTAAGGTATTAAATTAGAATAATTTTAATTAAATCATAGTATCATTACTAAGACATCACAAACGGTTTCTCGAAAAAACTTAACAAATTTTATTCATTTAATGTAGAATATTACATCTCAATCAGGAGATAATGACGATGTAAATGAAATCTGATAACTACTGCAAGTAGTCCAATTGACAAACAAAAGGTCAGAATCCAAGAATCTCCTCCCCCGACGATGCAATCTGCAAATACCCGAATAAGGAAGATAGTGCTTGATGATGATGAGTAGCTAGGAGAAAATACGGAGTTCCCTCACATTAAGCTTCTTTTTATTTCAGATAATCAAAACATTATTCATGGACATCTCACTGCCCAGTTATGATTCTATGAATGTACCTTTTAAGAACATATCGTACACCATTTTGTTTTTTTGAATTTTTACTTACTTGATCTGATTGAAAATCTATATCACAATAAAGCTTATGCGGATCTGTTTAAAGTTTGTTATTTATGATTTTCCCCCTTATTCTTTGTCTTATGCCGTAATGGCATAATACCCTTTTTTTCCTTATTCTTTGTACATATGCCTTCTCATACACAATCAAGTCTATCAACCAAACTGCTCAAACAGACCACATTGGTAAAGCACGCATAAAACACATACTATGAGCCACTCAAAAGTACAAAACTCATTACTACTTAATAAATATAAACTATTTGGCAGACCGATTATAGTATTGTTCCAGGACACAGAAGAGAAAATGTATACGCATACAATAACCGAATCATGAAAAGATATGGGTGATGAGTTGATGTAGCTTTAAGCAAGATACATAAGATTGAGTTACAGGTGTAAAAGTAAATATATCAATTTTATATGAAGGGAAAGTAATCTGAAGAGACTTCTTCATATAAAATGTTTTGCACTTCACAACTCCATATCTTCGACCATTTATAGGCTCTAACAATGTAAATTTGCTAAAAATTCGAAAAGTATTTAATTTACTATGAATAAAAATATCCATAGACAAAAAAATTTTATGTTCGATAACTGGGATTTATCTTCCGAGGATTTTATACTGCATTCTGTTGAGATTAATTGACATGCAAATCTCAGCGGCCATGACATTTGCCCACATAATAATTTGCCATTCCAGTGTTGTATTTGCTACAATGACAAGTATTATATGAAGAATCAGGTCCAAAGCAACAAAAGTAACTTGCTCCAAATTGCTACCACCACTTGATTGAAACCGACAAACAAATTTGTAATATTTATAATTTATATTATTTATTTCGATTTTTTCCTCAAATGGTTGACTACCCACAATTGAAATTATCGTTTCACAGAATGCTAATTAATAAACCACATACCATAAGCATAATATTTGATAACCCATCTTAATAAATAGCTTCTATGCCATTCTTTATTCTTGGAACAATGCAATGAAATAATTCAATATTGATTAGTTGTTGGTCCAAAAAGTAATTAATTTTAAATTGATCAAAATAAATATTTATGCTACCGTCATCAACATAATTTTTTTTCCTTTTATGTTAATATAATTTTTACATCAATCCTAAGTTACGGTGTATAAACCCAATTATGATAATTACCATTAAACATGTGCTAATTGGTAATCATCGCAAAAAAAACTTATACTACATGATCTGCTCATAATAATAATTAATCACTGACATTTATTTCCGATTCTTTAGTTTCAGACTTTGGGACAAAAAAATAATCAAATTAATCACAATAAATAATTATGATTCCTCCATCAACGTCAAATCATTTTCCATTTATTTTAATTTACTTTCTATATCAAACTTAATTAATCACATATAAACCAAAAGATGAGAATACCATTTCATATTATAATAATTGTTAATTGGTAATAACCGGGAAAATTAATACTTATTGAATATAAAGTTATTTCCCCAAAATGACTACAGCTTCTCTTTTTGTAACTGGTATATTCAAATCCAGTTGGCATATCAACCGTAGATCGGAAGGATACCTGTTTTTCGTCAAAATATAAACACAATTATATATTTTCCAATTACAGTATAGGCATGTATAGTTTATGGAAAATCGTACAAAGAATATGTTTGCATGCAAATACCTTAAAAAAAAAAAAGAAAGAAAGAAAAGAAGCTGCTATAATTTCCAATATTTGGGATGACAATAGAGATAGAGCATTTCATTTGGAAAAAGAAAAGGTGAATAAACTAGACAAGGAAGAGAATAAAGTTACAATATAAAATCCCTATCTTAACGATAGATTTATTATTTAGAAAGAGAGTCAAGAAAGAAAACTTAAAAAATGGGATGGGGGGAAAAATTCAATGAAGGAGATAGAATAGATGATGATGGACCCTTTTTGTTTTGCAGCTTACCGATTGATTACTCTCGCTCAAACTCACCTTACTCACTCACTCACTTTGGTTCATCAAACTAACTTAGTTCAATTTCAGTTTTGTTTGTGTTGAGGAAAATTTTCATTTACTGATAATCACACACATTGTGTTGTGGTGCCTTTATTTTAGTATAAGCATAGGGGGAAAAAAAAGAAAAAGCAAAGGACTGTTCTTTCTTCTTTCTTACTTAAATTTCCCAAAAATCATTTATGATAAAAAAAAAAAAAAGGAAAGACTTCTCGGATTCAAGGGACAAATACGCTGGGTTGGGCTTATTAGTAAGCCTTATTGTGCCTAATGTCTTAGAAGGGGGAGGAAGATCTATCC